TTTTCTGTAACTTTCCCTATTTCCCTTGCATTTTGTTTCCCTTCTCTTCTCTGCTATTTGTAAGGCCTCATTGGACAGCCACTTTGCTTTCTTGCATTTCCTTTTCTTTGGGATGGTTTTTGTTGCTGCCTCCTGTACAATGTTATGTACCTCCATCCATAGTTCTTCAGGCACTCTGTCCACCAAATCTAGTTCTGTAAATCTATTCTTCACTTCCACTGTCTATTCATAAGGGATTTGGTTTAGATCAGTGATGGCGAACCTATGGCATGCATGCCACAGCTGGCACACAAAGCCCTTTTTTTCTGGCATGCGGCAAACCTTTTGAAGTTGCTGCAGCTGGGATTCCCCCTTTTTCTTCCTGTTCTGGGTCCTTTAACTTCCTGTCCATCTCTATGATTCCTCCTTTAACTTCCTGTCCATCCCCATTATTCCCCCTTTAACTTCCTGTCCGTCCACATGATTCCCCCTGAAATTGCCACTTCCTGTTCCAGTTCTGGTCTTCTGGGCGGCACGGCAGCCACTGGTTTCTTCCCCACCCTCTCATTTTGGGCACTCGAGCCAAAAACGGTTTGCTTCCACTGGTTTAGATTATACCTGACTAACCCAGTGGTTTTTCCTACTTTGTTCAGTTTAAGCTTGAATTTTGCTATAAGAAGCTGATGATTAGAGCCACAGTCAGCCCCAGGTCTTGTTTTCTCTGACTGTATAGAGCTTCTCCATCTTTGGCTGCAGAGAATATAATCAATCTGATTTCGGTATTGCGCATCTGGTGATTTCCATGTGTAGACTCGCCTCTTGTGTTTTTGGAAAAGAGTGTTTGTGATGACCAGCTTGTTCTCTTTACAAAACTCTATTAGCCTTTGCCCTGCTTCGTTTTGAACTTTAAGGCCAAACTTCCCTGTTGTTCCTTTTATCTCTTGAATCCCTACTTTAGCATTCCAGTCCCCTAGAATGACAAGAATATCTTTCTTCGGTGTCAGTTCTAGAAGATGTTGTAAGTCTTCATAGAATTGGTCAGTTTCAGCCCCTTTTTATCTGTGGTTAGTACATAACTTGGATTACTGTGATGTTGAAAGGTCAGCCTGGAATTTATATTGAAATCATTCTATCATTTTTGAGATTGTATCCCAGTACAGCATTTCCCACTCTTTTGTTGTCTATGAGGGCTACTACATTTCTTCTACGGGATTCTTGCCCACAGTAGTAGATATGGTAAACCATCTGAATTGAATTCGCCCATTCCCCTCCATCTTAGTTCACTGACCTCCAGGATGTCAATGTTTATTCTTACCATCTCCTGTTTGACCACATCCACCTTACCAAGTTTCATAGATCTTACATTCCAGGTTGCTATGCAGTATTTTTCTTTGCAGCATCGGACTTTCCTTTCACTTCCAGGC